AAACGGGCCGGCGGTGGGAACGCGCGCGGGTTCGCCCGAGAGGGGTGGCGGTGCCTGTTGCTGTTGTTGTTGCCTTTCCTCCCCCTTTCGCTGCCCCTGTGAGATGCAGATAGATGCCTGGAAGTGATTAAATGTCGGCTTAAATTTTTGCGAAGCGCTCTGCTTCCGAATCTGGAAAAAAAAAAAACCAACTAGGGGGAAAAAAAAGGCAATAATATTTTGGATGTGATGTCAGGAGTACTTTTGCTGTCAACAGCCAAGCAAAGCTAGTATGAATCTTTCATTTGTGCATTGGATGCCTTAACACGTAATGTTTTGTAGCTATCTAGTACAGGTAGCTATCCAGTCGAAGCTTGGAGGAAAGCTTTAAAGTAGATGTTGTTCACAGAGGCTTTGCTTTAAATGTTTGTTAACAAATTTTCTGGTTTGCTGCCAAACTCTCGATTCATTTGTGTCACACTGTGATGCTGTGTGTGCTGTATAACTCTTATGCTATGTTTATTTGGACCACATATAAGAGAAAGATGAAAAGGTGATGTGTGAATCTTGTGTTTTGACAGTTGAGGAAAGCAGCTTTAGAGACTGGTCAGTATATGTGAAAGAGTGCAGGAACAAGGGGGGTAAAAATAAAAAATAATGATTTGGGATAAACAGGCATCTTTTGGAGTGTTAGTTTAAAAGATCTCATAGACAGCTGTAAAGGTGGTAGCAATACAGTGCTTATGTACGTTAAACTTACTTTTTCTGGAAACGTGTTAAATGAGTTGCTTTTCTTTCCTTGTAGTAAGAGGCCAGGATGAGTTATGCAGAAAAACCTGATGAAATCACAAAAGATGAATGGATGGAAAAACTTAATAACTTGCACATTCAGAGAGCAGACATGAACCGCCTTATCATGAACTACCTTGTTACAGGTAATAGTGAGTAGTAATGCTAGGAGACTCTTAAATGTGTGTCACTTATTTTACCAAGACAAACAGTTTTTTGCTAGAACATGCTACTGGATGGAGTAAAATTAAGGGTGGTAAGGATTTCATAATTACTAGTGGCTTTTCTTAGCAACATATATTTGCTCCTGTGTTCTGTTAAATGGAAACCAACTTAATTAGCTCCAAGCAAGGAGTTCAAGCAGATTTCTTACGAAAGAAATGACACTTATTAATCCCAACTCTTCTGCTAAGTGGTATAGAGAAGAGAGTATTTTTTGGAACACAGTGTTAGCAAACATGACTTGCTTCCAACTTTAGTCCTTCTTTGTGCCATTTAAAACAGAGTTCAAGGTATGTCGCTATTGTTAAAAAGCGCTCTCAAAGCTGAACAGAACAATTGTCAGAAGCAACTTTTAACTGGCTAGAAAGTTCAACTGCAAAAGGGCACCATTATCAAAATAGTCTGAGACCAAAACCACTTACCTGTTTAGCATATAGCCTAACGTTATACTTAGAACAATCAAAAACCCTCGGAAATGGGCCCTAGTAATTATGATTAATACTATTCCAGTAAGCTGTACCGGGGCGGAGGCATTTGTATTTTATCTACACCCCTGTTTACACTGCTGTGTCGCTGGAGCCTCTGGGATGAAGGAAGAGCATTTCAGTGGGTGTTATAGTTAGGTATGATAAATCATTTGTGTGCGTATGAAAGCGGGACTTAGGATTTAGGATAGCTCTTGTAACTTTTTTCCAAAGAATATAGTGTTAGTATGGGAAACAAAACCAATTTCTTTTTTCATTTTGTTCTCAGTAAAACTGGTAGGTCCATGTAAACAGAATTGAGGGGGCATAGGGAGAAGGAAAAATGCCCAAACTTGGAAAATAGTAACATTTTGGGATAAGTATACTGCTCAATTTAAGTGTAAAACAAGTTTTATATTTAAGAGATGTTGGACTATAACTTGCATGCATCCTTAGAGAATGGGCAGTTGAATTAAGAATGAACTAAGCATTATTCGATGCCTATTAGAATTAATAGGTACCTATTTAAATGATAAGAACTTTTCAGAAGTTCAGAATTAATCTTTTAATGACAAGAATACACAAGTAATATACCAGTCTTTTAATTTAAGCTCTGTGTGTGTGTGTGTGTGTGCGCACTTTTTATTTTTTTAAGGTGCTTCATTAAATAGTTTTTTAAGGGAAAATGTTTCTATTTCAGAGGGATTTAAAGAGGCAGCAGAGAAATTTCGAATGGAGTCTGGAATTGAACCCAGTGTTGATCTGGAGACCCTGGATGAAAGAATAAAAATTCGAGAAATGATATTGAAAGGACAGATTCAAGAAGCCATTGCATTAATAAACAGTCTCCATCCAGAACTGTTAGATACAAACAGATATCTTTATTTTCATTTGCAGGTATGGACAAGTGGCGAATTTTATCTTTCTTGTCAGGGTTGCTGAGAGACTGGAAAAAGAACGGGTGTGGGTTTTAGAAGCGCCTTGAGGGGTTCTAACTGAATATGCCTGCAATTGCAAGTGTTCTTGACATCATTTTGTAGCAAGGGGAAACTTTGTGGCATGCAATGCAGTAACTATCATATACAATTAGTAACATGAAAACTTCTAACAACAGTCCTCTCTGACTTACCAACTTCCAAATAACTATTACCTTGGATTTCTGGTAGTTCTGGTAGTAACATCTTTCAAAACCTGTTCTTCAAAAGTGTCAGTCTTTTCAGTAGATTTTGTACACAAGTCTGCTACTCTGTCTCACGCACGTGGAAGAAATGACTTCAAACTGTCAAGATTATCAACTAGTATTTGTCTCAAATTGCATACTAATGACTGAAGGTTACAGTCTTGAAATACTGAAGATTTGCTGATTAGTTTAGCTAATATTGCTGTATTTCTCATATGTAGCAGCAGCATTTGATTGAACTGATTCGGCAGCGTGAGACAGAAGCAGCTCTGGAATTTGCTCAGACCCAGTTAGCAGAACAAGGAGAGGAGAGCAGAGAATGCCTGACAGAAATGGAGCGTACGCTGGCTTTGCTTGCCTTTGATAATCCTGAAGAGTCGCCATTTGGAGACTTGCTTAACATGATGCAACGACAGAAGGTAGTACTTTCCCAAAACAAAATTCTCGTCTTTTATTCGTATGTGGTAAAATGGTGTCTAAATATTTTTAGAAATGTCTAGAAACATGTATACAGTGGTAGGTAAAAGAACAGAAATATTTCTGAAGTGAAATTCAAAAAACTGATGCTGCTAGAGTCAACTGCTTGGCTCTCTTCCATATCCTATGAGACTGGAGAAAACACGGAACTTTTTCCTGACCGTATTCAGCGGAGTCAACAAACTGTGTGCGGTCATCAATGTTTGTGTGATGTTACTGGTGTTAATCATAGGAAAACTACTACTAAACTCTAGTATTTCTTTCCCAGGTATGGAGTGAGGTGAACCAAGCTGTCCTAGACTATGAAAATCGTGAATCAACACCCAAGTTGGCAAAGTTACTGAAGCTACTACTGTGGGCTCAGAATGAGCTGGACCAGAAGAAAGTGAAATATCCCAAAATGACAGACCTCAGCAAGGGGACAATTGAAGAACCTAAGTAAAATGTGTGCAGATGGACATCAAATAATCTTAGTACTGCACAGTATACATTTATATCAGTCTGTGACTGAAATATTTTTACTACAGTACAGCACTCAATTCAGATTTTTCAATGAACATCTAATTTGAAGGGAGAAAAGTCCCTTTTGAATGCTGCAAAAACTGCATTGAAAGGCGCTGTATCTCTTTGAAAGTCTGACTTAGGCTATGCACTATAATACATTTTTAAAAAACAATTAAACAGGAAAGGAAACATAGCATTTTTAAAAGTACAGAACTCAAGGTTTCTAATTGGCTACTGATGCCTAGTTTAGTGGCCAGTGAGTTAATATGGAGTTATATTGGCAACTCTTCAGTTAAGTTTAACTGTCTCCTCTTTGAAATGTGTATATAGAACAGTGAATATTTTCTACCTTTAAGTTATAGCCACATATACATTCCCCTTGAAAGTAACTGGTCAAGTTTTCATCTATAAACTTTGCAGTAAGGTCAACCTTTTGCCTTGGAAATAGTGTACAAACTTGTAAATCATAATTTAAGGATTTTTTTTTTTCCTTGTTTCTGACTTTTTGGTGCTTTATATGGTGAGAGCTATGTTCATAATGGATCAGTGACCCATCTTTTCACAAGTAGTATTGTTGGAAATAAGTTTTCTCTTAGTTTTTGTGAATGACCAAAATGGCCCCCCGAGGCAGTTAAGAGTTTTTGTTAAAAGGGGCTTTCCCCCTATGTTAAACTTGCAGCTGTAGACACTGCAGTGATTCCAGCAGATTATCAAAGCTTTGAAGACCGCTGGGTTTTTGTAAGCTGAAAACACGTACTTGTGTTAGGAAGTGAAGTTGGCGGGGGAAGTATGCTCGTTGAGGCCTCTGATCCATCATCTTGTGCAGGTTCTGCCTTTATGCTTGCTGGATGAGAGTCTTAGTTTTAGGGCTACTTAGGGCTATTTTTATGCCTTGAGCTGAGCTGTTTTTAAAAAATGAAATTTCCATTTTCCCAATTCTTCCATACCTTTCTGAAGAGATGCAGTTCATCTTCACCTGTATTTGTTTACTGACTGTCCTCACTCCAGTTAGGATTATAGTTTTAATGTTTTACATTTGAAGTCCAGACTTTCAAGTCAACAAATTGTAGTCTTCTGGGTATGGGATGTTCTGGTTGACTTAATTTTGCAGCACTGTATACTGGTATATCCAGTAGTAATAAGCACTAATTTTGCCGCATCAATTTCTAGATTTTTAAGCCCATATATCGAGTTATTGTACAGACTTGCTGAGCAAAGACCAGTCTGATGGATGAAATAGCTTAACATCACAATACGCTGGCAGTTGTCATACCAGTCCCATACTGTACATAATCTAGTCTTGTATGTTAGGTATTTCCCTGTAGAACGAAACTTAGTTTTTACTTAATTTTACTGGAATACTTATGCATTAAACTGTATAAAGCTTTGCGGATACGTCTGACTTACGGAAACTAACAAAACCTGTTACTGATTGCATTACTGTGAACACTGTTTACTTGTGTAGTTCTTTTTTGTGGAGGAGGGAAACCATTGTTTGTTAAGCAGCTATTAGAGATGCAGAGCACCAAGGTTAAGCTAGATGATGGGTATAACAAAATGATTTTTGATTTGTTTCCATTTATTACTGATGGTTTTGTTCTACGTTGGAGGCTTTTGTGGTATGCAGGTCTTAAAGTTCATACATAACTAACAAGCTATCAGTTCCCCCCGCCTACGACAGTAATCTGGCTTCACCCAGACTGATTATTCTGACGCTTACCAAACTGTTAACTGTTGGATTTTTTTTCTTTCTTTTTTTCCCGTCGATTGCTGTCTAAGAACCATGTATAACTTTTAGTTTGTGATAAACTGTATGGTTAATGTAACTTTGTTTAATAACAAACTGCAGAAACAAAACTGGAATAGCTCTAATTTCTTCGTGTATAACTGATCAGCTTTTCCTCTATTCTGACACTTGTGTGCTAAGTCTCATCTAAAGCTTCTCCCGGATGAAGTGGAAAGCGGTGCGTTTTTGTGGCATGACTAGCATTTTTCTCCATGAGAAATGCAGTATTACAGTCCTGGTTGAGAAGTTCACTGTACTTCTAGAACGCTACCTTAATTTCATATAGTATTTGGGCAAAGATTGTGCATAGATTACTTGAATTTTCACTAGCTTGGTTTTTTTTTCCCATTTAAAAATAAACATGTTTTTTAAGGGGTTTAATACGAAACTAGTATAAACTATCTCACTTTGTTTTTATGAACATGCCACATTGATAAGCAGCTTTAATCTGTAAAGTTTTTGGTAACTGCAAGAAAATATTCGAAAGCTATGCATTTTAGAGGAAGCATAAAGGTAGTCATAATGGTACTTCTAAGGATCTTTATATTAGTGTATATAAAATAGTTTGCATATACAAATATAATATATAATCTGTTTGAAATATTCTGGAATGGTAGGGGCTGTGAAGCATATTATAATTTATGGAAATATTGTACACAGTAAACAGACCTCTGTCAGTACACGAATGAACTTTTGTCATATGCATGAGAAATGTCTTATTTGGTGACTACTAATGAATGGGATTTTGTTGACCCATTTTTGTTAGATAACCACTTTAACAAATATTATTAAATGCCACTTTGATCAGTTTGCTTTAGTGTAAAAATACATATTTTGTTCCAATTACTTTAAAGCAATATGAAAATAACTTTTGTATGAAGATTTGTTCCAAACTCAGTGGTGGCAAACATATCTGGTAATTGAATGTGGTACACTACGCTCATTCCTCCCCCAGCCTTTCTTTTGTTGAAAGCGAATAAGGCTATATCATTAATGCTATGAACATAAAGAAGTTGGGTCGTAAAATACCCTGTCTTATACGCCTCTGCAAAAAGGCATGGTATATCAAGTGTGTTTTGATTAGGCTATAAATTTCACTCCTTTTCCAAGACTTATCAGCTCCCAAAATAACGCTGTCTCTTAACTGTTACTGTGTTTCTTTTTTTGAGTGTCAAATCTAAGCTGAGCTGTGGTTGCTTCTGTTGTACAATGGAGTCATTTGTGAAGGGCAGGGAATGATGGGTGTCCGTGAAGATGAAGTACTGGCAGCACTTTCTGAGAAATGCTTACCAAATTGTTTAATTTTGTATAGCTGGAAAACCAGAGGTTGCTGCACAGAAACTAACAGCAGAATTTTTAAGTAGAGCATTTCCTCTCAGGACTTTAAGAGGCAAACAGATACAGCCTGAAACCAGGTGAAGTACCTCTCTCTAAGATGATTTCATTCAAACACTTCCAGCTCCTTCCACCCCCATTAAAAGAAAAGTGGAAATGGATGTGGAGAGCACTTATGTAGCATTAAAAATGTGTGAAGTTACCTGGAAAGAATTCTGTCTCCTTTCTACTCCTTGTACACATAGGGGAAGCCATTTCATTATTCTAGGATGATTTTATTGCTTTTAATTTGTAAAATTTATGCTTTGTATGCTTGAGTATAAGCTTAAAAGCATTACTTTAAAAAGTCCTTGACTGGTAGATGAGTGTTGCTTGACCTGCTTCAAATCACTTTCTGTCCAAATTCATCATGAAGCTTATTAAATTGAGTTGGAGCGTGATCCCTATGTGTCTGATCTTCATGGGTAACTGGGCCTCCCACTGTCAACAGCAGCTGAAAGCCTCCTTTCAGACCCTTATCTCAAAAAAATATAAAAGGATGCGGAGTCCTATTTTAGCCCTAACTCTGCCTTAAACTACACAAGTTGAGGTGGGTTTGAAGCTGTATTGTAGACCTCTATTCCATCTAGAAGCAATGTGACTGGTTAGTATAGGTTCCACATGTCCTTATAGACGCAACTAGCTCCTTTTCATTAATTGTTGCACAAGCAATGCTGTCCCCAGCCCTGCTTGACAGCTGGTTGCCTTTTCGTGCTCCGCTATGCAGAGATAAAAAGCAAAGCTTATGAACGGTACCCTCGCAATGATTTCTATTTCTTGATGGGCACACGGTGGTGGTAGGACCTGTTTCTCCTCCTTTCCTTTCCTTTCCTCTCCTGCTTCCATACGATGAAGTCGAGGACTTCAGTAGTTGGCTATACTACTGATGACCTGCATGCTGATGGCTTCAGGCACTTCAGAACCAGAAAGCCCTGTGCTTTCCCTGTTGTGCTCCTTGTCTTAAGCTGGGGTTTCAAGCACGTGCTGCTACCCTTCATCCATCTCCTGGAGGAATTCCTGCATGGGAATCACTGCTCATTTAAAAATGAGCTACCTTTTTCAACTTCTCTGCTCGTTTGCTTTATTTTTTAGCATGTTGCTGTCTGCAGCGAATTTATGTTGTTTGGCACTAGAAGCCACATGGATTTTCGTTGAAGTGTGGGCAAGTGGCGTTTAAACAGCTCCTAGATAGCAAGAGGCTCTCAAACTAAACTGCGCTGTCCCTTCAGCAGACAACAGCTGTCTTCTGCGGAGCGTGTGAGACTTTCTCCCTACCCTCCCCTTGGGAACACAGCGTTTGTTCTTGATCAGTGCTTAACTTAACAAAATATTTAAATAATACAACCATTCTGATACTGTGGATAAATTTTAGTAATGGTGATAGATAACTCAAATATTAACTCAATAATCTTTTGTTTAACCTTTTGGCAAATTAAACAGCATATACAAAACTAGAGCAGATTGTGTTCTCACATAAGATTATTTTCTTAAGTTAGCGCCTGCCTTCTGAATTGATTCCATTTGCCATTTAATCAGCTCAATGGGAGATTTGCTTTCAGCAAATTATGCAGCAGTGAAAGGAACAATTTCTGTGTTTTTACTTTTTAGACTTTTTTTATGTGCATGTAGTAGATGCTGCAAGCTGGCTGTTAACTTTACCCTCAAACACATTTTTTTAACCACAGCTATTTTTGAAAGTGAAACTTGCTTCTTATGTGAGAAGCAAATTAGTCAAAGCAGCTATTCATTGAAGAGAGGATGTTGAGTAGCGTAAGGAGAGGAATTGGAGGAATACAACAAATACAGAAAACTTTGTCTGCTACAGTAAAATTATGATTTGAGTGGGAAGTGGAGCAAGTTGATAGCCAATGGAGCAGCATCTACGCTTGCATCCCACAGTAACGGGACTGTAACATAGGCGTGTTAGCTCATACGCCGGGTAAGAGCTAATCCGTTTTCCCTCTGGCTGGTTACTGTATCATGCCCGCAATCTCTGCTCTTGAGTTCTGTTCTGAGCTCATTACAGGCTTTAACTTGTGCGGTTACAGCAGCGTTCATCTCCTCTCTCACCTAGAATTAACTAATTCCAAACACATATACCATTTAAAAAGATAAGAATATATACACCCCTAACTCTCCTAATCCCTCAACGCCGATTGAACAATGGTTTTGATTTTGGCTGCAGTGCTCCAGCACTTGACTCCCTCTGCTGGAAATGGGCACAGTAGCAGACTGAATAAAAATACTTTTTTTGCATAGTTTCCAGTTTCCTGCCCAAATAACTGAAGGGAAGCCTTCGACTCGATGACGACTGAACCCCACAGTTACTGCAGACTGTTCCTCTCGGTTCCCCCTTGCACCTAAGCCCGTTGGTATTTACTTCCTCTGTCAGTAGGAGGACTGGCCGAGCATGCCCGGGGCCTTTTGAGGCAGATCTCTTTGCTCTGAGGTAGAAGTGCTTGGGCAAAGAACAGTATGATTTTGCTTTTGTCATCAGCTCTGGAGACCTCCCTGTTTTGGAGTTGTCTCTTTGGTGTGCGAAGCACCGCTTACTATTTCCTAGTCTAAGGTTCAGCTCAATAATGCTTTTACTCCTCTTGATTTAAGTCGTTAGCTGCTCTTAAGGGACTTGTCAAGCGTTCCAGGAGAAAAATGGGTGCATTAGCTAAACGTTACTCTGCTACAGGCTTAATTTTCATGAGCGTTTACAAGCTGCTGGTTTTCCTGGCTGTAGGAGCAGCGGATGGGAGGTGCCTGCCTTGCACCTGTGCTCTGCGCTTTTTGGTGCAGCCCCAAAGCTTTCCTCGCTTTCCCGAGGGCCGTGTAGGACCTCGGCTCGGCTCGGCTGGAGCTCCTGCTCCATCCTTTGCTCACGCGTAGTTTCGCAGCGCCCGCGTCCAAGCGGCTATCGGCCGTGCAGTCACCTAACAACGCCTTAGCAAAGCTCTTCCTCCTGCTCGTTCATATTGCTGAAGTGAGTCACAAATCCCCTTGTTTTGGGCCGAGACAACCATTATTTTAATTACTTCCGTAAGAGTCTGATGATCTCTCCCACATGCTTTAAAGGAAGACAACGGCTCTACCCCATAGAGTTAAATCAAGCTGTAACGATACCTACTCCCGTTTGATTTTTCCTTAAACTCTTCAGACAGTAATATCATATTCGCTTTTAGCCTTTAAAAAGGGGAGGCAGAGGCTTTCCTGCGGACGAATCTGCAAGGGCTGGAGGGGCAGGAGGCAGTCCTGCTCTCCCACATGCTTTAAAGGAAGACAACGGCTCTACCCCATAGAGTTAAATCAAGCTGTAACGATACCTACTCCCGTTTGATTTTTCCTTAAACTCTTCAGACAGTAATATCATATTCGCTTTTAGCCTTTAAAAAGGGGAGGCAGAGGCTTTCCTGCGGACGAATCTGCAAGGGCTGGAGGGGCAGGAGGCAGTCCTGCAAGGAGCGCGAGTAGCACTGCACTTTTTGGGTGCCTGAAGGAGAGTGACTGAAGCCAGCCGAGACGTGGCAGAGGCACGCGAAGGGGAGGACAGACCCCGTTTCTCCCCTCTCTGTTTTTTTTTTCTTTCTTTTCTTTTCTTTTCTTTTCTTTTCTTTTCTTTTCTTTTCTTTTCTTTTCTTTTCTTTTCTTTTCTTTTCTTTTCTTTTCTTTTCTTTTCTTTTCTTTTCTTTTCTTTTCTTTTCTTTTCTTTTCTTTTCTTTTCTTTTCTTTTCTTTTCTTTTCTTTTCTTTTCTTTTCTTTTCTTTTCTTTTCTTTTCTTTTCTTTTCTTTTCTTTTCTTTTCTTTTCTTTTCTTTTCTTTTCTTTTCTTTTCTTTTCTTTTCTTTTCTTTTCTTTTCTTTTCTTTTCTTTTCTTTTCTTTTCTTTTCTTTTCTTTTCTTTTCTTTTCTTTTCTTTTCTTTTCTTTTCCCCCTCCCCTCACCCTGCTCGATTTTGCCGATGTAGGTGTAGTTATTAACCGGGAGGGAGGGGAAAAGCCCAAATTAATGGGTGCGGGATGGAGAAAATGAGGCCTTAATTCTGCCCTATACCCCGCCGCCGCCTTAAGCATCCGCAGGCGGCGGCAGCGCGGCGCCTCGGGCAAGAGCTGGGGCGGTGGGAGGAAAATCCCCGGCACCGCTTTCTGGCCTGCGGGCCGTTATTTAAACGTGCCATTGCAACCACTACGAGCTCTTTGTCAAAGTGTTCCGGCAGCGATGTTTGTACCGGAGATTGCAATTAATTAAGATAAAGTCTGAACAGTAGCTGGACAGCACTAGCTGTTCTCCAAGTTAAGCGATTACGAGACGCAAAAATGCATCCGCTTTTTGAAGCCCCAGCTGACAGCTTTTAGCAGTAGGGCCGTAAGCGCGCGCGGGAGGGTCTCGCGGCCTGAGCGCAG